TTCGCTTCCAGGATTACTTGTATCAAGGGAAAAATGCTGTCTACGAAGGCTTATGACCTCACAAAATGCCCTGGATGGACGACTAGAAATTGTGCTAATAGTATGGCATGAAAGGTTTCACGCCATACTATCAAAACAATTTCAAGTCACCACAAGAATCATGAGTTATGGGCAAAAATCTTAATCCCCGAACTGAGCAGTAAAGTGGGCGGAGTCTCTTGCGCTCCGCTGGAGCCACTTTTGTAACCTTGTGCCTTAGCCCTCTCCCCTCCCTCTCACTATCTTTCCACTTTCCGATAAGACACTGGTGCAAGGCTGTCCACTACTGCCCCCACAACATTTTCTCAATTAGGGTTCCGATCCCTATGAGTAATCGCGAACTCTCCCCCCAATTTCATCATTGCATTGCAGTAGGTGGAGTCCACAAACCCGATCGGAGCACTCCATCATCGTACTACCCCCGTGGATGTTCTGCCACACAAAACCCCGGATCACCGTGAGCTACCGTTCATCACCCGCATCTAAAATATCTTTACAGTAGTCACGACAAAGTTTATCACTGAACTCACGTTTGCAGCCTTCCATTAGTGACCCCATAAATTTCTCCATGTGCTTTCTGTAACCTCGGATCCCATAATGGTAGATCCTGAATTGGAGGAAGTAGAAGCCTGCCTTTTCAGGGATGAAGAAAGAATGAAGGGTTGTGTCAAAGCGATCGCCCGCCCAGATCAATGACCACCCACTTGACTTACTATTGGGTAACTCTGGGCGGGCTTGGCGGGAAGCAACATATATAAGTCCTAGTAGGGTGCCCCGGGGTATTCTATTCTAGCCTGCCGTCTACCACTGCTCCAGCCTCGACGACGCTTCTACCGCCACCGCCCGAGGAACCGACGCCGTTAAAGTTGAAAGTGTGTGCACTCATATCCCTGAGAGGGGGTGTGAAGGGTGGGTTGGTACGTTGCCGAAGCGGCATTTCCACCAATAATGCCATTCTCATCGTCAGTGCACAACAGTTATTGGGAAAGGCTGCTCTACAACACTGGCTCCTTCACCGCCCCATCATTTGCAGGTATCATGTCTGCAGCTCATGACATCGGGTATTGCGCGCGATTCGGCAATCCTATTTAGTTGGCCCGACATAGCACAGCAATCTCGGGTCAATTATATCGTGGCAGTAGCAGCTCTTCGTCGCTTATTTCACGCTATTACTGGAATTCCATCAATATACTGCACGATGAATTGCTCTCTTTTTGAGACTTGACGCCAGAATGCTATTTCAAGTCAACTAACTAGCACTGTTGATCTGCATGCAATGCCGCATATCAGATGTCCTTATCTACACTCAGTAAAGAGTGTCGCAGAAATAAAGAAAGCTTCCAAAAACTCACTCCAAAGACACTGTCTTTCATGAACCCCTCAAACTCGTCCTTGGTGAAACCTGATGAGGCATTAACTGGTAGCACTGAAATGAAGAAAGTCGATCAAGAATTCGTTTGCATCACGGTAAGTTGCTCCTAGAGATCAGAAGTCAACAGCGCACCTTTCACTTCGGATCCAAAACTGACATCCTTATCAGCGCCTTCTAAAGTCTGAGTCAGCACAACGGTCACATCATGTCCAGCTCGAGCTAGAGTTTCTGAGACTCGCTTATTCCATCCGACCTAAAACCGCTGGCTTATTTATGGTTACGAAACTGAAATGTTATTCTTTGAAGGTATTACTGTGCGACTAAGGAGCTTGATAAGTGAACAACAATATCACACAACAGTATCAGTATTCTGGCTCCATAGAGGTATACACGTTTACCTCTTCTTCTTCAGGATATAACTACGCCATTTTTCCCGATTGAATGCCTGATCGGGGTGAATGCCGGCTAATTTTAAGTCGGTATGCAGTGTGTCGAGCCAGCGCTGTTTGGGACGCCCCTTTGGCCGCTTTCCTGGTACCTCGAGTTCGAGAGCAGTTTTACGGACGGTGTCAGCCTTCCGTAAAACTGCTCTCGAACTAAGTACGTGCCCGTACCATCGAAGGCGCGTTTCGCGCAATTTCTCTGCTATGGGGCTACACCATACTTCTTGCGCACGACATCGTTACAAATGCGGTCCGCTCGCGTGACGCCCGCCGTCCAGCGCAGCATCTTCATTTCCATCACACCAAGGCGAGCCTCAACTTCTTTGGTCGCGGGCCAGCACTCGGCACCATATAACGCGACAGGTCGGACGACAGTACGATAGATTTTTGACTTGAGGCGCTCTGGCATTCTCTTGTCGCAAAGGATCCCAGACATGGATCGCCACTTAGTCCATGCCGCATCAAGCTCCGTAGCTGCTTCACTTCCGAGTTCAGACTGCCATCGGACGCAAGTGCTGATCCGAGATACTTGAATGTTTCCGTGCGCTTGAGCACCGTGTCATCGATTTTAATGGAGCCCTGCTCATTTGGATCGGTGGTCAGGTACTCGGTCTTGTTGACGTTCAACCTGAGACCAAAAATCGCCAGACGCTCGGCCCAAGCTTGCACCTGCTGTACGTGCCATGTCGCTCTATCTTCCAACAGACAAGCATCACATCATCAGCGTAAAGCAGGGTCCAAGGCACTTCCTTCTGAAGATCTTGTGATATGGCATCCATGACGGCAACGAAAAGAAGTGGGGAGAGCGCAGAGCCTTGATGTACCCCGACGGTGATGGGGAACTCCATTGAAACACCCGCTGGTGAGCGAACTGCGCTTCACGCTGGGCATGAGTAAAGATGCGCACGCCATCGATTAGCTCTCGGCACGTCATGCCGCCTGCAAAGCGTACCATTAAAGTCACGTGGCACACGATCGAAGGCCTTCTCCAGGTCTAGGAAGGCCACATGCACGGGCTTTCGCTTCTCACGGTGTTTCTCCAGCAATAGGCGAGCGGCATGTATGGCGTCGACGGTGCTACAACCCGCGCCAAGAAAGCCACCACACTGGCTGCGCTGGAATGCCTGGCCGATATCATGAACACGGGCGTCGACAATTCGCTCGAAGATTTTCATAGTGTGCGAGAGAAGGCGAATCGGACGGTAGTTCGAGCAGTTGCCGGGTTGCCCTTCTTCTTCCAAATCGGGATCGTCACGCTCTGCTGCCAGTCCTTAGGCACCTTCTTCTCTTCGACGATCTGGTTGAAGAGTTTCGTCAACCAACCCGCAGAAAACCAGCGTTGTGACTTCCACAAATCAGCTGCGATGTCGTCGGGGCCTGTTGCTTTGCCGGCCTTCATCTTCCTCAGAGCAGCTTCGGTTTCCTGTACGGTAATCCTCTGAACGGGGCCATATGTTGGTGCGGTACAGGGTATAGCGGGATGGGCGAATTCCACGGTTGAGATGCCCTCGAAGTATTCACGCCATCGTTGCAATACCCTTCCTCGGTCCATCAGAAGTTGCCCATTCTCATCACTTATGCCAAAGAACTTCTCAATGTCTTCGGTTTGGCGATGACGAGACTTGGCAAGTCCGTACAGGTACCGCTCACCGTCGCGCGTCTCCAGCTTCTTGCTGATATCATCGAAGTGAGCGGCCTTCGCAGCAGCCACGGCCGTCTTTGCCACATTCCTCGCTTCCCGATACTGCCGCCAGTTGTCAGCCGACTTCTGCTCGACGAAATACGCGCGGATAGAGCCTCTTCTTTTCTCGAACCTTCGCTTTGACATCATCCGTCCAGAGCCACGCGTCTTTGTCAATCCTCCGCCGTCCAGGCTTCGTTGTGCCGAGTTCGGAGCGGGCGGCCTGGATTATAGAATTAACGGCTTCGTTCCAGGTCTCCTGAACAGTTGTGACTTCAGGTAGTCGAATACGAGAAATCACAGCTGCCTCCCGCTCTTTCAGCCGCCACCACTTGATTCTTTCAGGACCGCTTCGTTCAGCTACCTGTCTCCGCCTGGGAGCTACGAGTCTGAGCGTGCAGATCAGTGGGCGGTGCTGCGTGGCAACCGTTTCATACGGTACTACCTTAGCGTCTGTCACGAGTCCTTGGTCGCCATGCCTGATGAGTACGAAGTCTATTTGTGTCTTAGTACTCCCGCTGTAGAACGTGATGAGATGGGAGTCACGTTTACGGAATCTTGTGTTCAGAATGACGAGGTTATGCGACTCTGCATACTCAAGGACTCGCTCACCATCGGCGTTCCGTGAACCGTAGCCGAATCCGCCATGACAAGCATAGCCGTCTTTTGCAGCGCCCACGTGCCCGTTTAAATCGCCGGCTACAATGATACCGTCTTTTGGTGGCACTTCAGCCGTCTTCTCGTCCAGCAGAGCCCAGAACTCGTCCTTGGACTGCTCAGAGCATCCAGTTTGTGGGGCATATGCAGAGAAGAAGTGGTACAGTCGTTGTTCAATAGCGACAACAATCTTCATCAAGCGGTCGTCGAAACGAACTACGCTCATGATCTGAATCGCGCGGAATCGCTGAGACACGATCACGGCCACACCACTTGTAGTTTTCGGCCCGCCACAAAGAACGGCTTTGAAGCCGAGACCTAACTCTTTCGACTTGCAACCAGCCCATCTCGTTTCTTGCACGGCACAGAGGTCGATCTTTCTACGCTCTAGGGCTTCTGCTAACTCGTACGAGCGTCCAGTCAGCGTCCCCACGTTCAGCGTCGCAATACGAGCCTTTGACACACTGCAGCAATCTTTAGACTAGCCTGGTTGGTATCCCCCCCAGCCGTCCTTGGCATCGAGGACCCCGCCGCATATTTTTCTAGCACTTCGTCCGGGCTTGCGAGTGCCCGCGTACGCGCTCCCGCGGACGCCGTAGCATTATCTCGAATTTCATAAGGCATAGTTAAACATGATGATGTGACATGGGGTGTTCGTAAGCCGGCCCGTCACGAAGGCCTGTCGCCTGCTTTCGTGTTCGTCCGCGTTCTGCTCAGCCCGCAAAAGCGAGCAGGTCCCGGTGGCACCACTTGGAGGAACGGACGTCACCACCAGGGTATACACGTTTACCTGACCTAAGTTATTAATATAGCATAATTTTGAATTTGGGGAAAGTTGAAGTACTACTCCGTCAGAGTAGTACTTCCCCCACAATTCTTCTTCAGGGGCACTTCGGCGACGGGGGGGGGGTCATTTTGCACTTCTGCTACTTTCCATCGACGTGTCGAGCCATCTAGAGAGCTATTTCATGAGCTTACAAGAGCTGACATGCTTTAAGGTGGTGGCTCAACGAGCCTGTTCCAGCTTCCCACGAGCTCACAGATTTCACTGGAGTGAGAGTTGTCGAGCGGAACTAGTGAAGCAGCGAAAGTGCAAAATGCCTCCCCTCCGTCGCCGAACGCCCTTCCTCAGAAAACTATAAACACTTAACCTTTCGCTCTGATCACTTCGTACTTTCAGAATGCGCACTAGGATAGAATGTGTGAAATGAGTGGCGTTGATAAGTTGAATCGCCCATTCCCGACCCCGAGCAAACCTTTTCTAGCACAGCCACTCCAGCTATAGTGGGGCTCTAGGGCTCAGCAGCGAGTGTGAAGTTGGGAAATTGAGTAACAAAGTTTGTTAATCAAAAGACAAATGTCTATGAATTATCTATGAGTTTCCAGCAGATAAGAGCTCAGAATGAGGAAATTTACTGAAACTGTAGATCTTTCGGTTAAAAACCCGTCGGCTCACTTTCAATATGCGCATACTTCTTATCCCTGAGACGGAGTAGGCGTGGCATTTGGACATTCGGGGGATATTTCAGTTTGGGACAACTGTCAACTTGTTCAGTTTTGGTGAGAGACATGACTAGTTTTGGTGAGTGACATGACTACAATTGTTTCAAATGAAAATATCTCCCAAAAGCACAACCACCACAGCTTAGTTGAAGTACGCAGCCACGCCTACCGCATCTCAGAGATTTAGAGTATAGTATGCGAGTTTAGGTTCTCATCAAGATCGTTATCAACTTTGAACCGCCTTATTTTCATCTCGAAAGGTAACAGATGGACCTTCTTGGTCGGCATCTGCAAGTCTCAGCCCTCATAGCCTCCATGGTCCAGAATTCGTCCCAGTCCCCGTTTGCTGAAAGGCCTCTGACTCTACAGGATCTGAAGAAGGCGACTACACTAGAAGGTAAGCCAGAGTTGGTAAAAATCATGGTGTGGTTGAACTAGTTTCTATAGATGATCAG